AAAATAATGTTAGTGCCAGTAAAAGATTTCGTGCTGGAGGCAAAGAAAAATAACATGGGAGAACCTTCTAACCTAGTCAACTCTCATTTCTTAAACCGTCTCACTGAATTATCACTGGCCTAAGCTTATATTCGTCTCTTCCTCTCTTGAAAAATCTGAAGTTCAGGCATTCTGGCAATCATCTATTTTTAGATTATCCCCTACTTGGGCACAAAAATACAGCTATCACTAAGAACATTAAAAATTCCTAATAGAAAATTTTAATTGCTAATTTTGGGTAGCATGTTTATTCCAGGCCCTTTGTTCCAGAGACAGAAGCAACAGAAAAGTGTTAAGCAATGCACAGTGCAAGTCTCAGGCTTGATGGAGACCCTTCCCCAAGAGGAGAACTGAAAACATCAACTGATGTTGAAGAAAGAAGGAAGAGCATATGTGCTGGATCTAATGACTGTAAGGAAATAACCTATGATGTTTACAGTCACTATCTCCAAATGGGACCAGGAATGAACCAGAAGTACAAGACACTTGAAAAGGTGAAAAGTGAAAGAGCTGCCAATGGCACGTGAGCTTGTGAAAGGCCTTTTCCAAAGGCACTGCTGAGGCCAGATGATTCGGAGGATTCAGAGCAGGACCAGGCTTTGATACTGAGTAATGGGAACAGCCAAAATTACATTAGACAGGTTTAAAAATAAGGTAAAACAAGGTCACGTTCTTTCGTGCGTCGTGCCCAAAGTCAGCCACCAGAGAGACGCTTCTGCAGTGGAGAGGTTTAATTTGGGGCTCCAGGGTTTCCACAGCTTTACTTGAAAAAGTGGATGCATCCAAAGGAGGGAAGATGGTCACAAGGGACCATTTCATGAGTGTTGATGCTGATTCCCACATTAACTAGCTCTTCTGAGAGCCACTTGGCAGCCATCATTTCCCCCTCATGTGCCTTTATGTGCTCATACTTGCACATTACACAGAAGATTAAGTCTGACCTGGACCCACAAAACCAGGAATCACTCCCCAAACCAGCCAGGCTCCCCCTCACAACCTCCCTCCTCAGGAGCAGACTCCTGCCAAGGTGGGAGGCAACCTCCCTCACCCCATTTTCCAGCCCACCCCATCAGAAATAAAAGCTCACACACACACACACACACACAATGCGGTTTCCTTTCATACTTTGTAAAGTTTTTATTTTTTATTATTATCTCCTCCTTTTAAGCATCCCTTTAAGGGTGAAATGAAGTCCAACCATTTACAGAGAAAATGATTTCAGAATGTACATTTGATTTATCCTTACAAAAAGTCCATTATTACTTGCTGTTTATAAATTACAGAGTGGAAAGGAGCTTTGCAGACGCTCTTATTTTCTATTTGATTTTATTTTTGGCAAGTCCACGCATTCTTTTGCCGAAGCAGGGTGTTCTAGAGCCACCCCAGGGGCAACACCACCAGTAGGTCCAGGTGGACCACAGGCTCAGAAGTGCTGCTGGGCTACCTCCGGGATGAAACTTCGTCATCATCCACACAGGAAGGAAAAAACAGTGGTTTGAATTCTCAGTCTCAGAGTATTTCACATCCCTTCTTAATCCATTATCTGTAGTTCCCAAAGCTTTAAATGTCAGTGTATTGCATTAGAAACAGCTCTCCTTTCTTGGTGCTGGATCTGAGCCCCTCCTGCCACCCCCTTACCTCCAGCTCCCCCTCTCTTTCCATAATAAGAGCGAGATTTTCCAACATCTTAGAAATCAGAGTGATGAATTTTTGGGAGGGGTGGAGAGAACACAATGATGGAGGGATTCAGGATCCATTTTCCCATTCACTTCCCTCCTTTCTTGCCATGGTTTGAGGTCAATGAAGCCAGGATGAGCCATCCCTTCCCTCTTCACCACCAGTGTTCGCTAATAGGACCAGGAGTGACCCTGGACAGGTATCTTCACAGTGCAGAGGCATAGCAGCCGCGGAGATTGCTGGCAGGAGCTGGGAGACAGGGACAGAGCCTGGGGGATATTCAGGAGGGGAAAAGACACTACTATCTGACAAGGACAAGCCAAGGAGCACAGAGGGGAACAGATACCCATTCTGCTCTGACACTCTCCCTCCACCCCAACTTGTACAATACCCAGAAGCCACAAGGTACCCTTGTTTACCTGTCAGAGACATAAGAGCAGCTTGGCCTGAGCTGCATGACAGCAAAGACCTCAGGAGGACACAGGGATCAGAGAAAGCAACAGCAAGAGTGGACATGAGTGTGTTTTCCTTCACAACAACCACACAGACACCAAAAACATTCCATCTTTTCTGTCTGTCACTTGGGTATGGCATTACCCAGCCCTTCAGAGGGGCAAAGACAGCCAACCTGCCCTGTTCCCTCTGCTTTAGCAAGCTCATCTGCTGCAGGTCCATCAAAGCCCATGTCCTCTCCTTCACTGCCGGCAAAAAAGGAAGATGACTTCCCTGGTCCAAAGCCATGCATAGGCACAGAACCCCTTTTTCAGGTGGGAAGCACAAAGAAAGGCAAGAACAGAGATGGGCAGACTGAAAGAGCAAGGCTTGGGGGTTTCACACACTGCTTCATCTACTACCTGGCCCTTCTTTGCACCAGTTAATTTGAAGGTGGAAAGGTTCTGGGGAAGAAAATCAGAGAGGCTGAAGAGAGCTGCAGGGAAAGGCTGGTGATGATTTTCATCTTTCCACATGCCAGCTTTGCTGCCAAAGGGACAGTGGGCATGTGGCTTTGCTGCACATGGCTGCGCAGCCAACAGACATGGGGCTCTGGTGGTCTGATCTCGGTTCCAGTGCACAGGCAGGACAGAGTTTTCTAGTCCTTCCTTTCTCAAACCTGAGGACCTGGTTCAGGCAAAATCAATGAGCCTCAATGCTCACCTCAGAGTTCAGCACTGGGAAATGAGGATCCAACACAAACCTGCTTTCTTTGCTGCTCTCACCACCCCACCTCTTGTGGAGGTTGTCTGGGAGGGCGGTTGACCCCCTGAGCACTGGTGACAGAAGTGCCAGCACAGCAGTACAGGCAAGGCTGGACAGAGGGCAAACCACCACCCTGGAAAATCACTGTGCAAAAGTCAGCTTGCTAGTACCCGTGCCCTCCAGGGACAAGAAGGAAGATTTTAATGACAAGAACTCTAGCTCCCTAAGGATAATAAACACAGGGTTAGCCAGACAAATTAGATAGGAACATTGACTGGTTTGGCCTTTAATCAAAAAGTGCTTAAGTGACTCTTGAGAAACAAAAAAGAATGCATTTCATCTGTAAAGCCCCTTCCTCCCACCACAACAGAAGTCTGGTTTATATTTAATTTCCTAAGAATAAGGAAGTGAGTAAGTCCAGGAGGAGGACAGGGCCAGAGTCCTGCAGAAGAGCCCCAGCACTGCTATTCCAGCAGGATCTTCTCATCCTGTCCTAGGGGGCAGAAGGGAGAAGCAATTCAGAGGAAAAGATAGAGAATGATGGAGCAAATAATGGAGGAGAGGCAAGACAAGGCAACAGGCTGTAGTTCAAGAACAGGAGATGCAGATATTGCAGGCGTGGGCTCATCTGGGACTCCCAAGATACCTCAGCAACAAAACAGTGACATGCAGTGCACTAAAAATCCACAAGGACGCCTATTAATGGGAAGGGCTGGTATCGGAGGAGAGGCTGCTCCCACTATAGAAGAAAACAAGGTACAGAACCCAGCACACATGCACTTTAGCCCCTGCTTCATGGGGCTCTGGTGCTGCCAAAACACCCATGCACTGCCTTGTCTTCTGTTGTCAGCAAGGCCTGCCATTGGGCTTGTGTTGTCACTTAGATAAAGCAAAGCCAAAGGTCTGAGAATAGACCTCAGGCTCTTTTGCAAGAGTGAAAATGAGAAACAGCTCCTTCCTTCCATACTTTTCTGCTACCGAATCCTGGGAGCTAACACACACCTGCTCTTCTCTGGCTGCCCCTGGGGAAAGCGTGTTCCCCTTGTGCTGCAGCCTCAGTGCTGCTGCTCTCATCTTGTTCAATGTAGGCTCCTCCTTTGCCAGCTCGGTCCCCATTTCTCTATCATCTCTCTACACTAAACACCTCCACACGGCTGCTTGGCACAAGGACCCCATGATTCTGAAAGACTCCCTCCTGCTGCATCAACAAATCTGGACTTAGAAGAGCCACAGCTTCCCTTTGGGGAAAGCATTCTGCCTTCCAAACCTGCCCTCCACTCAGTTCCCAAAGGAGCTTTTCTACCTGTGGGGAAGACACAGCATGAACAACAACAACAACAGAAAGAGGGTCTTTTTCACCTAAGCAGGCATTATAGCACATGAGATGTGGAAGGAGCTAAGATACACTTCATCCCAGTTTGATCAGAAAAAGATGTTCATCTTCATTCTGTTCCAGTCTTGGTCTTATTTGGCAATCAAGTTATTTTTGTTGATGCTTTTCACTGCTCTAAACATGGGAATAGGAAGGAAAAAGAGAGATACAAAGACAGGAATTAGGCACAAGGGTGGGAATGGGCTGGACAACACAGGAATGTGGAGCCCGGATGGGATGAGTTAATGGCAATGGAAACCCTCCTGCTTCAGCACAGCTGGCCTGATTTCAGGGTCACTCCTCCGTATGCCAACATCTTCCTCCTCCTTCTCCTCCTATGATCCTCACTTCTCTGCTTGGAACATGAGCTAGTCTTTCCACTGCAAGGCTAATAGGACAAGTTTATCATGTTTGTCACCCTCTGCCTGCTACAGCCCAGGCACTGGGCACCCTGTCAAGCCATCTGCTAGGGAAGGGTGGTAAGGGTGGAGACATAGATCTGCCTCCTCAATGAGCTGAATCAATTCAATACGATGACAGGCCAGATCCTGACTGTACCCATCACTGTCAAACACTAGACAGACATCCCTGCTCCTCTGTATGGTCTTGTCTGCATGGCCTAGGCTGCACATGCTCTCTGGATAGCATCATGGTCCCAAAACAGTCTCTTGGCCTAGGGTGAATCCAAGCTCCATGAGCCTGGGTGAATCCTATGGCTCCATAAGCTCCCTCACACCTGAACAGCAGACAGATGGATCCTGTGCCTTGGCAGGCTCTGTGTTTCCCCACAACACCCACTGCTGACTCAGAGCTTTGCCCTTCTCCTCTCCCTTTTACCCCACAGCAAGAAGGAACAGCCAACACATGTAAGTACCAACCCTGGGGCAGGCACAGCCCACAAGGCTGCAGAGGCAGCCAAAGAGGCACACAACAGTCCCATGTGTTTTAGCACCGCTCTGCTATGAACTCCCCAAAAAGTCATCCTTGCCAAGATGGAGATTGCAGCTCCCAGATCCCCCCATTTTCTAAAAGCACACATACCCAAGCCCAACTCTGTCCCCTTCCCTTTCAGTACTGGTAACGAATGCCCACGTGCATACCAAAACCATGCATGTTAGCACTCATGCACATAGGAAACCATGCACTTGTAAACATACACTCCCGTTGTCTGATTAATTCCCCTGCAGCTTGTCCCAGCCTCAGCAGAAGCACGTACTGCAAGGAAGATGCTTCAGTGCCTGTGGGACAAGCTAGTACAGTGTTGTTGGGGCAGGGGTGAAAAAGGAGTAAAAGAAAAAAATTAATAATAATTAAAAAAAAAAAAAAAATCATCTTTTTCCTCTGCTTCCTGTCTGCCTGCTCCAGAACTGGTAGAGCATCAGGGCAAGATAGAGCCCAGGACAGATGCATTGAGCCTGTGGGAAGAGGCTGCGTCTTGGGGAGAACACCTTGGAAGCAAAGGATTTCCCTTCTCCAAAATACCCTTTGAACACAGAGGTATACAAAAAATAAACGCATACTGAGATGCTTTTGCACATTCACTCATCCAAAAAACGCCTGTGACACACATCTGCACACGTGATCGCTCATATCGGTTTGTGCCTGCTGACTCACATGCTCACTGAATAGCTCAAGCTTGCATCTGTGCTTGCTCCAACCCACAAAGGACAAGCGTGGACAGGAGGAGCTGCCCTCTCTCCCCATGGGACTCTCCCAGCCTCCCGCAGAGGAAAACCCACCAGCTGGATGCAGAGTCTCTCCAGCCAGCAGGAGAGGTCCAGGAGATGCAAGAAAGTCTTTATCCTACCACCAGAGTAGGTTCCCACCATCCCTCCTCCACCTGCCCATGCCTCCCTTCATATAAGTGTGTCCCCAGGAATCACTCTGGGATGAAGGGAAGAAGAGAAGGAAGGGAGGGAGGGCAGAGACCCCAGAGAAATGGCACTTCCCACCCAGAACCAAAGAAAACAAAGAAAGGAACAGATGAAAACACCCAACTCTTTCCCTTTGTTGTGAAGTTCTGATTTCCCACACGAGCCCCAGTGCCCTCACCCAGCACCCTCCACTTTTCGGTAGGGGTTCTCCAACAAGTAGCGGAACCGCTGGTAGTTCTTGAGCAGGTACTTGGGAGCATACATCTGCTCCTTGGGGTCAGCAGGAGGATACTCCTGAGTAGTACCATCAAACCAGCCACCAGTCCGGATCAGCTCCCGGATATAATTGAGGTCTCGTTTATCCTCATAGTCACCCCAGCGGGGGAAGTCCCCGTTCTGGGCCGACACCAGTTTGAAGTAGATTCCCTCTGGGGTGAAACACCAGGAGCAGTGCCAGCCAGCAAAGTGGAGGGGGCTTCCCAGTGACCACTGCACCAGGATGTGTCCTGTGCTGTTCTCGTACTGCCGAAAGCCAGGCATGGTGTAGTACTCGCGGCGCCGCAGACGGATCCCGTCGGTAGCATAGACAGCCTGGAGCATCCCCATGGTGCAGCCTGAGACCACCTCCAAGGTGCCTGGCTGCTTCCAGAAGAAGCCATAGAGCGACTTGCGCATGTGAAAGGCGAAGGGCTCCGTCCAGCCGTCATAGAGCTTGAGGAAGAGCACGCCATCACGGGCTGGGATCTCATCGGCATCATCGATGATGAAGACATCATCCGGGCGCAGGTTGCGGAGGCGCGAGATGCCGTCTCGGGTGAGAAAGGTGCGCAGGTAATCATCGGCAATCCAGCCATCCTGGCGGCCTCCAGGCGGGAAGTGGTCCAGGAAGACGTAGAGCACTTTGTGGCGGATGTAGTCAAAGGAGCCGTTGAGGAGCATCTCACGGAACTTGAGGGGCCGCGGCTCTCCGTAGGCGGTGAAGTTTGACTCGCACACCACGAAGGCATCCACCACGTCTCCCAGCTCGTGGAAGCGGACGTCCAGCAGGTCAAACTCATGGTTGACATTGATAGCGTTGATGACGCGCCGGGGGACCTCCCGCGGCACAAGGCGGTCCTTGGTGGGCAGGTTGGAGTACTGGACCACGGTGGGGACCCCGCAGCTGGGGCCGTGCCAGCCAGGCAGGCACACGCACTCTACCCACTTGCGCCGCTTGGTCCCACTGGCGCTCAGTGGCTTGCGAGCTGGCCGCCCCGATGCCACGCCATCTGCTCGCTCCTCCAGCCGCCCTCCCACGGGTGGCTTCTCCAGCACCTTGGTGCCTGGTTTAAAGCAAATGCCACCGGCTTTGGTACGGACGAAATACTCTGTTGTGTCTTCTGGCAGTATAAACTCAGCTTTGTGCAGCTCTTCGCTGGCTCTGCTGGGTGGCAGGGGCTGGAGCAAGGGGGAGTGCGAGTACAGGGGCGTGCGGAGGAAATCTGCGCCCCCCGGCTCAGGGCTGACCTGAGGTGTGACAGGGGCATTGTTCCAGAAGAAGCTGGAGACAAGGTTGGGACTAAGCGAAGCCAGCTCCCGGGGGAAGGTGACATAGGAAAGGGCCTTGAGGAAGTGCAAGAAGGAGATGAGGCAGAGACCAGCCATGCAGAGAGTCAGAAAGAGCTTATGGCGTCTCATCTTCATCCTGTGGAAAAGCCACGAAAAGGAAAGTCACATTCAGTAGTTACTGAGGTGCAAAAAGCTTACCACTGGTAGAAAGACAGGCTGGGGATGGCAGAAAGCTGGTCTAAATTCAGCATGCATCTTCGAGACTTGAATCCAAGAACACTCCCCCCACTCCTGCCATCTTCAGCGGGCTTTTTTGCCTCAGCTGGGTTACACCAAGCTGAACCTCTCCTAGAGGAGTCACAGTCTTATAAACTCACAAAGACAAGAAAGGCACCGGTGACAGAGTAGAAAAACGGGAAACCCACAATAACAGGAATTCATGATCTAGTGAACTCACCACACTTGGCAGATTTGTCCCTATTCATCGATAGAAACAAAATGAACGCAGGCCTCCTCAGACCCTGCATCACCAGGGTGTTGGAGGAAGATGAAGAGAAAGTAGAGAGCAGGAAGGGTGAGACAGAGTAGAGGGTACACATCTGAAATGTCTTGAAGTCTTAAAGGACCGAGATCATCAGCCAGGCTGCCAGAACCAGGAAAACACCTACACTCCCCAGATTATTTCAGTGTTTGCTCAACACACGCCCTGAAAACCACACTTGTTCCTAGGAAATGCTACCCAGGTTCATGTGGGGGACAGGAAACAAAAATAAATGAGATTTTATCACTTTTAGTCTTCTCCCATCCTTCTCAAGTCCAATGTATTCCCAAATGTTGCCCACTGCTTTTTGTTTTGGGTACCAGACACCGAAGTTTTTTTGCATCTGGATCAAGGTGGCTAAAATAAACACCTAGCTGTCTCCACTGGTAATATAGTGCCATCATAACAGATCCATGTCAGACCAGCAGGAAACCAGCAGCGCGGAACCCTTCCCTCCAAAAAACATGAAATACTGCCTTCATCCTCTCCCTACACCTCCTCTCCTCCTCCAGCCCAGGCAGGGAGCGCAGAGCTGCTGTCAGGCAGAGAAGTGATTGAAGACTACAGTCTAGAAAAAAGGGAAAGAAAGAAAAAACAAGAGAAAGAAAGAAGAAAAAAGTAAGCTCACCCATGCTTCACCAAGGAAAAGAGGCCTTGCCCTCTGCCCTTTAGGAAGGGGAAGGTTGGGGCAAAGGTGGGCAGGAGAACAAGGTCACCAAAAGCCCTTTGCAATGCAGAGGCTGTCCTCTCTTCCCTGGAGCATGAAACCCTCTGTGCAACAGCAGGCAAAGAGGCAGAGACCCTCTCTGAACCCCCAACACGTACCACCGTACCCCCTCTACAACATGCTCCCCCATGGCAACTCTCTGCCATCCACCATCCCCCTTCCAGGGCCAAAGTTCCCACGAGGCACCACATGGCCCATGCCATCACTTACGAACCCTCCACCCGGTGCAGCAATGCCAGCAACTCCTCTGCAGGAGGTGGCTCCCACTCCTGGGGACACAGGGGAGCTGCCCCACACAGGGGCTTGTCCTGCTCCCCTGCCCCACGGCTGACACCTGTCCCCAGGCAGGAGCAGAGGGAAGAAGAACCCAGCCCGCTGCCACTGCTTCAGAGGATATTAAGTATGATACGGCAAAGTCCGTTTACTGATTAACTTGGAGGGAATTTAATACTAAAGTGAAAAGCCATAAAGCATTTAGACAGATGGCAACTGCGCAAAAGAAAACATATCTTGCTCTTTACAGATGGCTCCAATGCAGACTTGGGTAGAGGGGTTGACCGTGGTTATACCCTACAGCTCAGTGAAAAGCATTTCTGGACACTTTGTGGTCACCTTTCGAGCGAGGACCACCATCCACCAACACTGTCCTCCATGCTCAGGTGGCAGTGAGGAGTCCCACATCAAGCTCTGAAGGGGGGAACCGCCAGCCTGAAGCTGGTGAAAAGTTACTCCCCTGCCATGCCAGTGCTGTAAAAAAGAAATAAGAAAAAGAGATTGCTTGATCCTATTTGTTAATGTTTATTACAGCTTTTTATATACTTCGACATGGCACAGGTCAGCAGAGGGACAGGGTCCTGGCTTTGCATGCTCCCAGGAGGACATCTTGTCAGGCAGGATGGGAAGAAGGATACAGTGGCTCTCCTCAGGGACCAAGGCAGGTCCTCACCTGCACCCACCTCCATAGCTCCACAACCTGACTGCATACACCTGGTTGTGGTCCAGCTGGTGGAAGGCCACCTTTGGGGTGGCCCAGCCATGTAGAGGCTGATGTTCTCCTGTTGAAAGCTGTAAAGGACCACCTTGGGGCTTGCTGACAAGCTTTCTTCATGGGGGTCAAAACAAGGAGCTGCAGAAACCCCCAAAGCATCTTCTTGTGTCCTGGGTATTTATATTTCTTTTTTCCTTAAGGCTCTATTAATGCCTTGCTGGAGCAGTGAGATCACCTGCAAGGCAGAGGATTATCCAGTGCCTTTTCCTGGCATGTCACCAGTTTTTCATGTGTCTTGAAGTGTGGGGAAGCAAAGGGCACAAGGAAGCTGAAAACACTAAATTAACAGGAACTGGTTGTCAGGAGGAAGCATCCCTTGCTGGTAAATTAGTACAGCTTTCCCCAGTCAGGCATCCTGCTCTTTCTCCAAGGCATCACATCCAGACATCAGGTTGCTCTTTCAGACGCTAAAACCCAGGCAAGATAAATGGCTGGTCTGCTCCAATAAGGCAACCCCAATGGCTGCCAGGTACTGCTGGTTTCACTCCAGTTCCTGCAGGACACACAAATGCAGGGCAGCCAGCTTCCTCTTGGCCAGCCCAGCCCAGCGGGCAGGTGCTGAAGGAGTCACACAAGGCACATCTCCATCTTCTTCCCAGGCAGCCGTGATGCTCCACATGCCATGGTAAATTCCCAGACAAAAGGTCTTAACTCCTGACATTCAAACCACTTCACTTTCTGGGATGTGGTGTGCCATGTCAACATAGCAGGACACGTGGCTTTAGGAAGTAAAGCATATTTTCCTCACTTGACATTTGCATACATCAATATCTGTCAGGCTCAGCACACACAGCTCTGCAGCTCTTCATCCATTGGCAAAACTCAGCCGTGCACAGCTGCATTGCCTCCCTGTTACTGCTGGTGTGCACGGCCCTCCACTGCAGCTCTGCCAAAGCAAGATGGCCCCACAGTACCCTCTGCTGTTTTGCTGCTGACATGTCCCAGGAGGCAATTTTCCCTGCTCAGTTGTCTTTGTTAGGGAGTAGGAACATAAACTCATTTCCTATTCCCTCCTGTAAAGGACAGAAGCAAAGAAACAAGCTTTGTCCTCTTCGAAACCCCTTCCCTGGGAACCACCTCCATTCTCACATGCCAGGGATTCCTCTGCCAGGGAGTGGAGAGTAGACATGCACCCCTGGGTGGGCTGAAGTGCTAAAAACCATCGGTCACATCTGCCTTCCCATACCCTCTGGTCAGCACTGCAGTGAAGGAGGTGTCTTTGAGTGATAGCTAGTTGGAGACAAAGGCCAGCACAGGAGAAAGATGTTACTGCTCACCATCCCCATCCAGAACATTTATGTATGGTGGAAATAAGACAGGAGGTACCAGTCAGGGAGACATCTTAGCTTGTCATCAAAGAGCCCAGCTGCTCTGTCACAAAGCAGCCATCAGTTACCAGGGACATAGAAAACAGCAAGAAGAGATATTTCCCTTCTGACAATTTGGGGGGGGGGGAGTCAACTTGATCTCAGAGAAAGTGATCAAGTTGCTGTCAGGTTAAAAATGACAGCAAGAGCAGCTTTAATGTTCAAGTAGAAGAAAAAGCCAGGAGGAGTATGCACAGTCAGCTCCATTAAGACAAAGCTCTTTAGGGAACACACAGTTATAAACAGCTTCAGCAACATTCGGTCTCAGAAAGACAAGCTGAAAGCTTCTTTTTGTAAGGGATCCCTTTGAAATTTTCCTGCTTGAAGTTACGTCTCTACCATGCAGGGGAAGGGCTTTCAGAGAAGGAGGGAAGCTAGAAGTGGTATGCACGTGAGTTATCCCCAGGCACCTGTTACCGTTTTACTTTGCCATTATATCAAGTGACCGGTTGATTTATACCATCCTGAAATCATATCCTGATTTTTCAAGGAGCCAGGGAGAAAGATATGCACCACTAAGAGCTGGCAGTTCATCAGCCCTAATGTTCTCTTCTGGAGGACGCTGGCAAGAGGCCATGCGACAGGCCACTGCATGCATGCTACCCCACACTCCACCTCATCAGGGCACGGGACTCAGAGACTCCCTAGACCTCTCCTGTGGTTACAGGAGAAAAGCTGCTGTGTAGGACAAGTCAGAGCAGAAGCTTCTTTTTAACCCTGATACAGGAGATGCTCGACTCCTGTGCCTAAAGTTATCCCATAACACCCATGGAGTACCATATCTGCCCATTGCTCAGACACTTTAACACAAAGCAACAATTTACATTAGAATTGCTTTCACATGGCCGATTAAAATCCAGCAATGACTTCCATCCCACACTCCACACTGAGGGCCAAACTGTCTCTGCTCCAGCTAGAGACAAGTGAACAGGCTCCATGCTTCTGAAGTACAAGGCGTACCTGCCATCATCACAGTACCTCAGAACACTATAATCTCAAGTTACTTCAGCCCTGCAAACACCCACAGAAGCAAGGAGAAACTATAAAACCTACTATTTGTCTGCAACTGAAACACTATAGACTAGCCCAGGGGCAGCAGGACTGTGCTTTCCCCTAAGGACAGGAAGAGAAGATTACCCTACAAAGCTGGACAGCAGGGAAAGCGGAGAGAAGCAGGATGCACCAGAGGGTTGCCAGGCCTCAGCATCTCTCTCAGGTGAAGGATGCTGTGGCCCTTCCAGGGATTGCAAGCTGGGAGGACATCACAGCACAAGGTGGTTTGAATGCAAGCAGGCCCGCATCAGCCTTCATTCAAGTTTCAAGGACAGAATGCAACATTCTTCTGCGACCTTCATCAGGAGCTGCTGCCCACAGCACTAATGCGAAACAGCAATACCTCATGCTATGCGTTTCCTTTGCAGTTTCAAGGCAACTGACCACGAGGTGACACTGA